AAAGTTATTGTGCGCCTGAAGCCCCAACCCTGATCCACGCAACCCCGCCTCTTACTGTCCCATCACCCTCGAAATCATAGTGCTGCAGCCGCAAACCAACCCAATCAAGCACCACATCCCATCGGTCGCCGCCTCAGAAGATGAACCACAATCCAGCAAGAAGACGAGCGCCGCAATTGGCTATGTACACGACATATCCGACCAAGTGTCGGTGCAGATAGCGGAGTGAGACACATGCAATAACAGGGCAAGCGAAGGACATGTGCACAAAAGAAAAGTTCGGTGAAGACCCAAAGTTCATCACTGTGGAGTAGGAAGGTAGCTGAAAGGGGTGCGGAAAAATATCGTCTGGTGCTGTTGTGACTGGGAGATTGCAGAAGAATGGTAGACGGATGCAGACGCAGCGAAGGGAATGCCTGCCGAGGCCCACATGGGCAGCGTCGGTGCAGCAGGGGGCGCCATTGTTGGTACGCATCGGTACCCCAAAGGACCCGATGAACTTGTGGCCTAAAAGTAAGAGCTCATGTGAGAACTAATATTAGGGTGGAGATGGGAAAACTAGCCAGAGATGGTAATCACGTAAGATAGTAGCCACAGAACAAACCAAAACATTGCGCAAATCTATTTTGCTTCATACAAGGTTCAAACTTGACTCTGCAGTAATCCCGACAGTAGGGTAGAAATAACCAAGTGAAAATGTTCTATGTGAAACAATAACATACTGGCAGAGCGAGTAGTGCCGATAGACTGTTCGAAACAACTTTCAAGGCAAACCTTACCATGGATTGGATTTAAGCTGAACTGTTTACCCTCACTACGGAGATAGAAGTAGCAACGTGTCATGATTCACTATATGCGTAAAATGGAGCTGCTTTTCGAACTAATATCCCAAAGCACCTCAAGAATCACAATGACTAAGTGTATAGTTTTGCGAATAAAATTCCCTTATCCACGATCAGAACAAAATGTGAAAGCAGTTTACCAAACGTGAGCGAGGCTTGCTGGAGGGATTCGATATGCCGGCGCCAGAGCTCTTGGAATGAGTGCGACGGTGATTCACCAACGAGCCGTAGTGTTTGTAGGCACGGTCGCAAAGAGCACAGACAAAGGGCCGCTCGTTGGCATGCACAGCAGCATGACGCACGAGATAACCGCGCTGTGTGAATGCACGACCACAGTCAGGACAGGTGAAGGGACGGAAGTTGGTATGCGAGCGGAGATGCGCCGCCAGACGACACTGGAAGACGAAGCGACGGGGACAAGCAGGACAAGGAAAATTGAAAGCACGACCCTTGGCATCCAAAGCTGAGCCTGGGGATACACTGCTTCCGTCGCTGCCACCCACTGCCACCGCTGCTGCAACCAACTTCAGCTGGTCAGTTGTAATGCCTTCCAACGTCGGAATTGCACTCTCCTGAAACACCAAAGCCAAATAATGCGACGAGAGTGAAAGTATCAACTTCATTTGGTCAATTCCAACTCCTCGGAATCGAATCCGACAGCGGACTGTGCAACGGATAGCAAACTAGCCCATGCGGCTTAGCAGCTATTCTTCAAAACAAACAAATGTGGATAAAATACGGATAATTATGAGTTTTCAAATCCTAGCGCAGCAAAAAGCAATGAGAATTAGCTACACAGAACTTCCTCAATGCAAATAAGGCGAGAGGTCAAGGACAAGGACTCAGACAGTAAAGACCATTGGTTGGACTAATCCCCTCAGCTAGCGTGACATTCAAAGTCGCCCGTGAGACTAATCAGGATTGAGAAATTCGGAATACATACTACAATATGCCAGAGAGTGACATTAAAACTGAATTTCTGGTAATGTGAACTAACGCTTGAAGTGATAACAGCGAATTTTTCACGAAAAACTCAAATGCTGAGTTACTTGGTTCGTGTAATACCAAAATACCATTTTGCACCACAAAAAACGTTGGCTAACCAGAAACGCCAAAGCTAACACGCATTCAATGCATCACAAAGACAGAGCTATTGACCCAAACCTTTATTTAAGTAATCAAGACAGATTACGTATGTGTTCTACAAACTCAAATAACATTAGGCCGAGCTTGTATATGTTTAGCGGCTTACTACAAAGCCCGTGTGCGTGTGGATCGTATATAATGGAAGTTATACCCTCAGCAGTAATAATTTGATTAAATAGCAACAAGGATAGTCAAATAAAAGTAGGTAACTCATCATTATCCAAATGACATCAGGAGGCTTTCTTGATACCCGGACATGATTAAGCAACTATTCCCACGGGGAATACTGAGTACAGGATAAAATTAAAAACTTCGCTACGAATAAGATTGGTGCGAAATCGCATAGAATCCTTAATGACCCTAAATTATGCATTCATAGTTAAGCATACCATTTCCAGAATATTCACAGTGTGCTGCATCACTAGCTTTTAAATTAGGGTAATATTACTGCCGATGTACTTACGTAAACACAACACCTCGAAAAATAATTTGAAAGACGAAATGCTTTTAGTAAGACTGGAAACAGTAAGGCGTTCGACTTCCGAAGTAACTATATGAAAACGCCACAAAAGGATGTGCAATGACATAAATTCACCGACCAGAACCACGGGCAAAAACACGATAGATAAATGCTTGAAACGAACAAATACTGTGATAACTCACAAATCGCGCAACTCACATCTACTTTCACCTGCTTCCGGACGTGTGCTTTGCGCCACCGATCGGGCGGTCGAGGGAAGGCAGGGGTGGCAGAACCAGTGGAGCCGACAGTAGGTGAGTCTGCGTGGGCGAAATTTCGGCGAAAGGCTGCAGCTGCAGCCATTGCCACACCACGGTAACGGGCGTCTGAATCCTGCGAGTTGTTGCACGACGGCTGCCGATCAGTGTTGGAGAGCTGCTCGCCCTCCGGCGACGCAGGTACTGGCATCGCTTTTTCATGTTGAGGGTCTAGAAATAAAAGAAGAGCTCAGCTTAGATAGACTCCGTGTTTAGCATTTGAAAGGAGGAATCTTTTGGTTCTGAAGTCTACTTTACTAACGGGATGTAGAAATAGGGACGAATAAAATACCAGAAGAGACCTTGGAATGGTAAAAAACGGAAATATCATCTCATTTGCATAAAAATACGGCAAATGTAGAAATATAAGTATGAATGACGCCTAAGAATGGAATGAAATACGCAACCTAAGTGTTTTTAGACTGAAAAGAATTGAGCAGTAGACACACATGTGAAACGGATAATGCATGCTAAGAGAACGCTGCCACATAAAAAAAATGAATAGTCATGTTCTCCATTTGAATCAGTCAGTGTAAATGTGCCTTTACCTCCCTCCCCAGAGGAGTTTGCTGGATCGGAACTAATAGATCCAACTGCAACAGCGACTACAGCTTCAGCATCAGCACGGTGTTTAAATCGCAAATGCATTTGAAGAGATGCAGAAGATTTGAAAGTACGTCGACAGAAAAGACAAATCCGGCCCTCTGCTCCAGGACAGTGGAACCTCCGATGAGTAGACAAACAGGAAGCCTGTGAAGAAGAGAGATATTTTGACAAATCCACATGTGCTAACGACACCTGTGCACGCTACTGAAAAGAAACTAGTAGGACAAACCTGTCTGAAGGACTTGCCACAGACAGTACAATGAAACCGAGGCTCTGAGCTGTGAACATAGCGATGTCTTTGAAGGTTCCCAGCATCAGAAAAAGCGCGTCCACACTCAGTGCAAGAGAAGGGTCGTTCGCCGGTGTGTCTTCGAATATGGGCCACCAAACGACACCGCATTCCGAACTCCTTGCCACAGATTCCACATCTACAGATGAAAGAGTAACGTCAACCTCTATGCGCAGCAACAAGTAACACAAAGTGATCCGCACTGTAGCTTGCGCACGGCTAGCTATCTATCGCAGCGACTATTTGCTGCAATAGTGAACAGCTTAAACAAATATCACCCGAAAGGTTAAATCGTACAAAAGTAGGACGAATATTCAGTCAACCCTTCAGTGACAAGCAGAAGTACCGTACTTGGACAAAATCTAAACTAGGTGAAACGAAAATATTGGGAAACGGAGGGTGCATAACAATTCTGTAATATCTGAATAGATCCATAAGGTAGAACGCAACTCTCAAGCATAATGCGTCATCGGAAATGCTTACGCGAATGGGGCCAATGACTTGGACTGGCTATCCTGAACGACTGATGTGGAATTGAACGTCTGTTGAGCATTTGTTATCACAGGGTGGGCATTCAAGTTGGAGGGAGCAGTATAGGAGAGATAAAAGAAGGGGTTGAATGGATTTGATTGATAAGGTTGGATGAAATTGTTAGGGGACTGGGACTGGTCAAGATCTGAGACATTAGGTCTTCCAAACTGGGGACTAGTCTTCACCTCTGCAGGTGACTGAAAGGCTGACATCGTGGTGACAGCCGAAGTCATATCTGTTGACAAAGAAAATTGATTTAACTCATACAGGTACTTGACTGACAATGAACCGAAGACTCTACGTACCGGAGGGATTTTATATTAGGCATACACGGATAGAAACATACGAATGGGATTACACAAATACCGTCAAAGAACACAAACACTGTGTGCATTGCACAAAGGCCAAATTCACGTATGTTCATCTTCGCTCAGCCGTACAATATACCTTTTACATTTGCATTTACATTTTGCATCATATGCCAAGCAGGGGAAGTGGTACTGATTAGACGTTTTCCATATGAATTTTATTGCATTATACACAAACTTGGTTGCAGACATTTGCGAGCCCTAAATAAAATCATTTAAGATAAGAGTTAAATGCACCTTAGATTATAAATTTTGTATGCAACCTCAAAGTTCGTGTGAAGTTACTTCAACCCCAAAAAAATTACTGATAACTGCGAGGTAGTAGAGATCCTTTCGCTGGTTCCTGAGGCCTGAAGCTTTTGCTTTCATATCGCAGTTACGGACTGCTGACGCAAGCACTGAAATACTCAATCGCATAAATTACGGCATCAATACGCACTTAAACCTAATCGAATTGAGTGGCATAGCATTCACATTAGTTAGATTTCGGCGTCACAATTTACCAACTTAAGTTGAAATTTTATCGATATAATCAAACACTTTAATTCACCTATCGACTGCGTTGGACTTTGGATGTATCCTCTGTGGAAGCCAACGGGAGGCCGGCCATCCTACGGTCTGCAATTTTACACTTAAGCACATATCATTAGTGTGCATAGTTTCGTGTCTCAAATACACTTAGGTCTGTTCGATCAGAGTTTAGGGACCGCAACCTTACCATTTCTCATAATACTTAACTGGACTACTTCGGTGGAGGGATTTGCCACATAGCTACAAAAGTTTCACGAGGCAGATAGTTGAAGCATGCCTTCTGAAAAAAAACAAAGACACTTTAATGTAAGAAGCACCTTAATGATCTTGCTGCTACTGCGATGTTCACCTGCTTCCATCTTACAAAAAATATTAATTAAAGCAACTTTTCTTGATTTCTGCCTGTGCGATCTGACGAAGGCAGCCTACCCTCGAATGTATTACTTGCATCTTGATTGACCACACGCAGACTAAATAAAACGCCATTAATAATTTTGGCTGGGCTTGTAAATACTTTGAAACCAACTAGATTGCGCTCAGCGGTGTAGTTCTTTGAAGTTTGCGCGAATTCTGATGTTTTAAGAGTAACATCTTCCAACCCATTTTATCAAGTCAAAAAGTTGGTCCACCAGTAGTACTTCTTTCAAAGGGGTAGCATTGCCGTAGCATAAACTCTCGGTTTGAGGTTACAAAATGGTGAAGAACGAGACGAATCTGCAGAAACTTTGGTAAAGTGATAGGGAGGGCGTTGGTCGAAAATAGTCCCAGCTCTTTTATGCTAATCTATGGTACTTAAACATAACCACGCCTAGACCAAAGTTCTAACTACGTGACGCCTAAATCCTACCTTTACCTTGGATTAGACATTGCTCATGGCTTGCGTACTTAGAGGGCTTGTGAAATCACAGTCATTCCTTCCTGTCATTAGTAATGAAATTTGACAATCAAAACTTGCTCTTTTGTTTTGCCGTTCCCCAACCAGAAAATTGAAGATAATGAAGACTTATTTTGTCGACCTCCTGCTTTAAATGGATACCATTTGGGAAATTTTCTTAATTAACAGGCGCTAGCATCGAAAACGAGGATGACGCAGAATCTCTGTAGTTCTTCGAAGGGTGAATAATACGTTATGCTCAGACAGCCAACCTGGTGCGCATACTGCCGTAAATGGGAATCGAAAAACGGTTTTTCCATTTAATCCACGTCCTCGGCTGCCATTAGTTAACTTCTCGCAATAGCATCGTAACAAATGCGGAGGTACTTATGAGCGAATCGCGGATCCCCTTTGGTAATACTTCAAAACTAGTTCCTCATCTGAGTCCCATGTCCACAGTTGGGATCCGGTACACTGGATAAAAAGCACATCTATGCTGAATGTAACAGTTCAAATAGCGTCTAGTGTCTACTCTTTCTTGCCTCTGTGTTCACACCATAAAGCATTTCAGCAAATTCATCTATGGTTAAGATTGGACAAAGTGTTAAGTCTGTCGATATCTTTATGCGGGTACCTTGGTTGGTCGACCAGGTGTTTGGCAAATAATGACACTTCCGTTGATTTTATTTTTCGTGGACACATGAAACTGAAGATCTGTTAAGAGGTAGACGTCGTCACTGGGTTCCTTACTCTACTATAGACTTTGGGACTAATGCGCTTCATACTTGCTTTCTACCGTTTTCTACCGTTAGAGGGAATTGAAGATACCGTCATGGTCAGGAGGTTAAACAACTTCACAACAAAAGTTGACCAACACCAAGCATTAGATTTACACAAAATTATCATTGATTACATTTGAGATGGTATTGTAATGACCTAGACTTAGCATTCAAGTTCCTTCAGATTAAAATGGCGAAAAACATGGGAAGGTAAAGATTGCAAAATGAAGAATTGAGAAACAAAATTACTTTTTTGTGTAAAAAACGGCTGTAATACACATGGGTTGTTTAAAATGTGTCTATTAGGTCAGAGTAGGAAATTAAGTTCAAACGCCAGCTACAGGAACCAGTCTCCTCTTTCCCTCCTTCCTTAAACTAAAGAACTTGAAAGAAGACAGACCCCCAGGAAATCAGTTGAATAGGAGTCCGATGAAAGTGGCGCTGAAGCTACACTGGTGGTGGCTATGAGTCGATACCGTACAATACTGATCACTGTCGGAGTCAGGGGAGACCCTGGCATCCAGTTCTGCTCGAGATCATGCTTGAAGAAGGAGGCGAAAGAGAAGAAGGAGAAGGGGAAACCTCTTTACTACCTTGATTATAAGGCAAGGTTGCGTCTCGCGGTTTCAAGCTGGTCCTCGAAATCTATTTCTTAAAAAAAGGGGAAGTTCGTCCGTTATCGTATTTTACACACAAGACCAGAGAGTGCATATAAAATTTCATTATGACTGATGGACGCATAAGTTGCGTTGGAGTGAAGGCGGAAAATGGCCCTAAATCCAAGTGATGAAGAGCTTACGAATGACGAAAAGTCGTGATCGAATCCAATTAACGGTTTTTAGTGGCGAAAACTAAGTTGGTCCCGTAATTTTTAAAGAACACGACATTTTTTAAAGTCCAAATCAAGCTTTTTCTACAAACAAAACATGTTATAAATCAAAAGAAAGTTTCATTTCCGGTAGTAAAGTGCTCAGTGTTTAAGTGCCTCAACCCGCAAAATTGATTCCAATTCATGATGGCACGGGAAGGGTGTTTTATGCAATTAAAACGATGACCTTTTTTCCTGGTGGGAAGAAAGGGGTTTACTACTCTTTCATCATGCAGTGCTCCGAGTCTCATTATCAGTGGAAGCTAGCTAAACCAGTGTGGGACAAAGTTCATTGTTGACACACAAAAGAATTAATAGATTATAGACACTGCAAGGTAACTATACCGTCAAACATAATTAGGCCTGCAAGTAAGGAAAATACGAGACTCCTTCACTTCTCCCTCACTGCTTCGAGTTCTAGTTACAACTCTCGGCTATATCATCCTTCAGTATGGACTAGAATTATTGATAGTGACGCATGAAGTCTGTCCAACCGAGAATTGTGAGAGCCACAGCCCATGCAAAGCAAGCTTAGTCGCTAAAGCCACGTTACTTCCTGTAACACACGTCTTTCTTTAGCAATAACCTTAGAAAAATGGATGCAATATGGCTAGACTATAACCAGAGAAATGTCACATTCGCTTGCTATTGATGCTGAAATAGGCGAAGAATCCTTTATTCGTACCTTGCTATGACTTCATAATGGGCAAGGTGAACTTTAATGCCTCATAGATAATCCCATGGGGGACACCGACCTCGGTGCTTTCATCGCTACTCTGAAAGAATGGAAGGAAAAAGTTGGTCGGTGTCCATCGCCCCTTTTAGCCACGCCCAGTTCCGTTTACAAATGCAACCTCCTCTGACGCTTAACCTGAAATAACGGGAATGATAACTATAGTGAGGCAGGGAATTGATAGTGGCGCCAGCAAACCATTGATGCTGTTTCCTTCTATGCTCTGAATGACCAATTACTGGGCTATGGTCACCTTAATGCCATCCAACGCCATTGGCGTTTCCTTGTTTGTTTTGGTGCAGCAGAAAAATGTGTGCCGCATTTAATAAAGAAATTACAAATTCTTCACTTGTAACGCCCTAGGAGAGTGAGGGAAAGGTATGCGAACTCCGGCGCGTGTACTCCACCTTAGAGTAGTCAAAGTACAAAACAAGTGTGTGCTGCACTGACATGACAGTATCGTTTACCCTTCTTTATCACAAACATCTAACAACACTAAAGCAAACACTCTGAGGTCGCATATTTTCCACTTTGTTGTAGCATTCCTTTCTTTATTTTGGGTCTAAAAGATGCAAGCATTCCGCCATCAATGCGTGAGTAGTAACTTGAAAGATTCACGGGAAAGTGGCTACTACAGTTAAAATTACGCCAGTATTTTTCCAACCTGGTCCTACGACGTGAAGCGATGGATGAGGACAGCAGATTTAAAACCGTCTGGCATGAGTGTGATGAATGTTCAGATTTTTCAAATGTCTGAATGTAAATCGTAGGCCTTTATGCTTCCTAAAACAGTCATGAGAGAGGATAGTGAATCTACTTCCACTTTTTATGGAATTTGTTCATAAAAGAGCTTGATGAACAGTGGAAAGACTTTTGCGCCATTTATAAACCTTTGTAATATAAAAAAACAGATCTATGAAGTAATTTGATACAAAATCAGATTTAAAATTGGGTCGTACAACCAAATATTGGCTAAGTAGTCTATGTTTCTGTAAGCCTGGTTGAGTGTCCGTTGTACCGTCATTTTGCAGGGTGGTCCCTTCCTCATCCCACAATCCCAACCCCTTTCTATTTGTTGAA